ATGTAGTAAGAAAAGATGCATGGGTCATACGTAGGATGTGGCGACCGGTTTCCTATAGACGCTCTCCACGTCAGACAAAAGACCTATGGTGCTACAGATAAGCTTACATAGAAATACCCTGTAGATTATTGTAATCTGCACATCACATATTTTTTATGATGTAAATATACTGTGCATAAATAAATTAAAAAATTCTTGAAGGGAAGTAACTGAGAGAAAATTACTTAAAAAATTAAATTGCATGGTTATAATTATAGACAATGACAATATGTTACTTGAGGGAAAAAAAGTATTTCTTTGCAAAACAGCATTCCAGAACAAAACAGAAGACCTGATTTATTGTCTATTCATGGTCTTGAGAGGGTAAAAAAAATTTGCAGTAAACAAAATAAATGGCTTATTATGCTCTCAAGGCACCTTGATGTCGGGAGCTGTCTCAGTATTAAAACAAAATTAAGAATCTCTGTGCTTTTTAAGGAAAGGAATACAGAACCTAGATGGCAGCTTTTTTAGATTTTAGTTACGCTATTTCTCTAGAGAGTGTGGTGTTTAATGTCCGTATTGGCTGGTGAATACATGATTCCTGAGTTGAATTTGGTTAAGGACCCTAGACGGCATAACCATCAATATATAATTGAAATAAATGTTTTTATTTTTGTTTCTTTCTTATTTTAATATATTTCATCATGATATTACAGTTTGCATCAATAGTAATTATAGAGAGAGCAGTAGATGTAAATTAATTGGTGGTATCAGTCAGATGTTGTTTCCAGTTCAGGATTCATGGGCTTTTGTCCTCAAGAGGCAAAAATTGCCTGAGCTTATGTTACATAAGCTGGTTAATGCGAAATAAATGTGTTTAAAAACTATTTTCTATCTCTTTGTCACGTTATTTTAACAAGGGTTCTTAAAAGTAGTAGCTTCTTATCAGAATTTTTTTTTTGTAGACATCAATAACATGTATCTGTAAGGACCATAAAATGCTTTTCTAGTGACATGAACATTTCAGACAAAAATCCTTTCAATGTAGATTGTCTGAGAACTGTCCATTACATGTCCAGTAAAAAAAAATGAGCATCAGTCAGCCAAATAAATAACTTATTGAATAGCTAAATATTTGTAGATTTTAATTTGATTGGAAAATGAGATTATTATTTTGAAACAGTAGCCTACTAACAGCTATAAATGACCAATCAGCGTTTAGCATTATAGATTTTAACCTAATGAGACAAGAACCTACTTTGATTTTCATAGAAACTCTATTATGCATTGAATTTTGTAAAAACATGAACAACTTGATCTTTAAATGTACACCTGATTTCACACAGGAATAATTAACTGGTTGGCAACCTGGGAGGATTCATGTTACTTTTCATATATTTGATGGCCTATTTGATACATTTTTTTATATTTTGAATCAATAGCTGAATTGTCTTTCACTGTCAATCATTTTATTCTTTATTTTATTGTTAGATAACTTTTAATCAGTTGCATTTCACAATGCCTTGTACGGATTAAGTTTGTTTTCCCAAAATCAATATCGTGATATTTTCTCATATCATAAACTAGATTTTTTTTGGATTAGGTTCTGTACATGTCTTCAATAAAACTAACTTTTCTAGGAGAAAAAGTAATGCTGTAACCAAAGTGTTAAGGACTTTGACTTTAATCTGTTTTATAAGCAATGTGTACCATATATTTTTTTCTTGTATAAATTGATGATGAATGCTTCATTGAGTTGGCCTTAGAAATATCACTTCAGTAGAAGAATGTCAATGGGGGATGAATATTATTTATCCATAGATTGAAATAGACTATGTTAATTATTAAGAAATAGATTGACAGGTATGTAAGATTACTGTCACCTAGAGCACCTGGATTAGTTTGATGTTGTCATAGTGCTTCCGTAAGATACTTATCCAAAATCTTCCTTATTCTAATCTTATAAAGGTTAAAAAAAAGCCAAATATCAATATAGTCTTGATTGAGTCTTGCTGGCAAATAGGTGGCTGATTTCTAATGGTAAAGTAGGTTGCATTGTAGCCAAATGGTCTTAACACATGCACTGTCTGTCATGAGTTTGGTCCCTCATTTGAACATGACAAGGAGTAGGATTTATTTTTTGGGTTCCCAGTTTCCTTCGGCTACTACAGAACCCCACACCTGTACAAATTTTTAAAATAAAAGTACACCTTTGATAATGTGAAATGACCATAGTTATGTTGTGTGGATGTTAACCTAAAATTTTCTTTTATGTTGAATTTTCATTTTGGTGGTTGTAAATTAATGATTATTGGAAGTACAGGAGTAGCAAAGAGATAAATGATAAGACAGGTGATGAAAAATGACCTTACTTGGTTTACCTCACATCAGTTATTAAGATTATAGACCAGGAGCCCAGTGGGTCAACCTAGCTGAAAAGTGTACCAATTTTCTCCTATATGGTATCAATGCATGTATATCTGGTATCATCAGAATGTAAGTCTGCCGGGTTTCTGGTGGTGGGTGTGGTATTCCAGTTTATCGCCTCTTCCATACGTGCTAGGTATTAGTATTCTATGCATCCTGGCACAATTTTTAATTTTTTGGACCACGGGAACAGTGCCAGCTAATCTATCCTAGATGGGGGCGTGGCATTTTTGGGCGTGTCTGTTAGGGCTTATTCACCGCACAAATTGTCTGGCAGTGTTCATTCATGATTCCCGTCGTGGTACTGAACAACTCCAAAGCTGTTTTAGGTGGTACAGATTTCAGCTAATCTAGCCTAGCTGAGGTCTGGAAATTAGATAACTCTTGTCAAGGAAACTCCACCACTACAAATGTCTGGTAATTACATAGCTCTGTCGGGGGTAACCCACCACTAGAAATGTCTGTCAGAGTGTTTTTGTAATACCTGAAGATGTACGGTACACTGCGGTACAATTTTCATGTGGTACACTTTTGAGCTAATCTAGCCTAGTTGGGGGGCATTGCATTTTGGGCGTGGAATACCACACCCACCACCAGAAACTTGGCAGACTTACATTCTGATAATACCTGACATACACGCATTGATATCATATAGGAGAAAATTGGTACACTTTTCAGCTAGGTTAACCCCCTGGGCTCCCACTCTATTAGGTCTACCTACTTTCTATTGCAAAAATCTTGTGTAATTATAGTAGATGGGCTTACCAATGTTAATTAATTGTGATGTATTAATTATATTAAATATCTGCAATATGATTGATATAGTTAATGTCGGTCAAGTGAAAAAAAATGTATTGTGTAGCTTGAGATAGTTTATGGAATATACGATGTGTGTCTAGATTAAGCTGTGTTTGGTAAAGCTTGAAATTGACCATTCCAACTTTAGTTGTAGCTCAACACACAATAAACTGATCATTTGATAGGATCGTCTGGAGGATTATTTCTGATGATTTATATAATTCTTCATAAGACTCTAGTATTTACCCAAGGAAATATTCCACTTGATACGTGAGCAGGTACCAATGTACTATTTTTAATAAAAAAATTTAACATTAAATTACAATCACAAGAACAATCCCCTAAAAAATTTAGACTTTCAAATCATCAGTGTTATTGAGTATAACACCATTAAAAAAAATAATTGTACCCATTTGTTACTTATGGCTGCAGGAAAGAAAATAACAGTTCTGTTTACTTGTCCCCTGTCAGTTTGAAATTAAAAATATTATACATGAATCCCTGCTAAATATAAATCTAATTTAGAAAATAAAATTAGTATTGTATTGTATAAAGTGGATCTAATTATCTAGATGCTACAAGATGAAATAGAATTAATAATTTGTGGGGCTAATAAGGACCTTTTTAGGTTCATGTCTGAAAGTAGGAAATATGAGTCTGTGAATTGTTTCTTCTATTGTAGATAAAGTTTGATCTTGAGAGATTACTTTTAGATTATACAAGATTGTGCTCTGATATGGTTACTTTCACATGAGTAAAATACTTCTTTGTGTCACTAGGGGGTTTGGTGATTGAGTGGTCTAAAGTTTAGAGATCATAAGGTTTGTCATCAATTCAGACTCTCTCTCTCTCTCTCTCTTTCTCTCATATCCATTGTTTTAAGAATTTACCTTTTACCTAAAGGCTCTTTTACAACTTTGCCAGGCCTGTAGCTAGTGGGGGCGGGGGAGCAAAAGAGTGACTGCTGCCTCCCCTGGAATCGGTTCCCCCAATGGGCACCTTTGGTGCCCTTTCCATTGGACACAATACAAAGCCAACGAGCAACGCTAGCTATGGGCCTGTTTGCATATTTACATATACTTTAAAATTATTTAAAGAATCTATGTTAATGATAAAAAGTGTGGCATAACATTAGATCAGAACCATTCTCATAAATTGATGAAGAATTCACTGTCTATACAAATCAGATAATACCCTCTCCCCACACACTATTTCTGTGATATCAGTACTATTTCATTTGCTATAAATTGTGTTGTTTACTTTAAAATTACTGTCTAGAACTTTTTAAATGTATGAAGCTGAAACCATAGTAGTGTTAATATAGAATATGAATGCTTAAAGAAAGTACTATTGTTTAATTGTCTACATGTTTCACCTGACCTTGTCAAGACATACAGTGACATGACGTCATGGAAGAATAATAATACAATAATATAATAATAATAAAGTAGATGTTTATAGCATAATATTGTAATTATTTTGGAATGTTTAATTTAGGTTTAAATTTGTCAATAAAATATTGTTCCTTCAATCTCATTTTCATGGGATCTGAATATGGCATCTTAAAGAACAGGTATATTTTGAACTCGCCTTTACTGCAGATATCAAGGTGCTCATTTAAAGGGATCTTCCTTAAATTTGGTTCCCTGATATGTTGTCTATGAACCGTTACTCTGTTTTGTAACTTGTTAGTGCAACCGATGTACAATTTTGGCACAGCCACTAAAGTAGCAAAAAAATCTTAATCGTAAATCAATTTAAAGTGAGATTTAGAATTAAAACATAATATTTACCTTGAGAGTATATCCACCGTTTGTATTCACACATAACCAACAAAATTCACAATTTATTTAAAATCTGTATTGCCCCTGTATCTTACTTCATTAACACATATAACATGTATTCATAGAAAACTACTTTAAGCGCATGTGCCCTTGTCACAGTCAATGCATCTCACTTGTTGACAACCTACCGTGTTTCTCCTTTCGCAACTTTTAAAACAGTTGAGTAGTGAGAGAGCGATAGAAGCTAATCACATGTCTTCATTTAGATTGGTAACAAGAATCAATACACTATTGCCACTTGTACCTCTTGCTACATATAAACGCTTATAGTGTTATATATATATATATATATATATATCTACTTAACTTGAGTTATTTTAAACTTTATTATACTATCAAACAATGTAACTTTTTTAAAATACTGTTTCTTTATAAAAAAAATTTTTTAAATTATTTTCATTGGCTCAGTGTAAAGTTTTCTTTTTTATTCGATTATTGATTTTTTCTACTTTTTATTTTCAAACTAAACATGAAATCAATGTCTACATAAAAATATTTTGGAAGATATAGATTGGAAGTTTTTTTTTATTATTTAAACATTTTCATCCCCTGTGACTTTTTATTGATTAGCATTTAAAATTGGAGCATTTTTTTATGCTACTAAAAACTCACACAAAATCAGTCATTTTTGTAGATTTTTGTTTAAAATTTGTTAGCTGTTCTTCATTAATGCAGTATTGTTCAATATTATTGATAGAGTTATTTGCATATTATTTTGAAAAATTGAACATGGTTATTGTTCAAAAGGTTATTGATTGTTTAATGCGTAAGGTAATATCTATCCAATTATATCGTAACTTGTTAATTAGTGAATTTTCAGTTAATTATCTTCCTCTCCATAAAAATAATCATTCCACATGTTGCATAATTTTTCAGTAAGACCCTTGGGAGGGGGAGGGGGATATTCTCTGATAATCAAATATGCATCTTTACAGGTTATGTAGCCTTCGTTGAATTTTATTATTGAACGGAACAAAAGGCTTTCTAGGAAGTTAAACCTGCTTAACTTTAAATATACATGTACATAATGAGGTATAGACATGTTCAGAATGGTTATTGATTTGTCCAATTTACAAACTACGCAGCTTAAAGATAACTGCCGTAAATTATTCCCTTCACAATCAACTTTGTTGTCACTAATGCAGATTAAGTTCAAAACGGTGTGTGACATAAAGTGTTAACAATTATTTTTTTCCTTCTATAATCCAATGACCAAATGTTTTTTTTAAACCTGTTGTAAAAAATATCCACGATACAGTTTTAGGCCATCAGTTTAAAGTGTTTATGCCCACATCTGACCATGTGGTCTGTGGGGCAAGGGTAAAAATTAAGTTGTTTTTAATTTTTTTTCTCTTATACCACTTGATGGAAATTTGAGAGGTATATGGGATAGACAGGGTCACATTTAAGAGGCAAATTCTGGTACCAGTAAACTTAAAAATTCTTCTTCTTCTTTAGAATGAATATATCTTGCCGGCATCAATCAATGAGTGCACCAATCAATTGGAAAAGTCGGGCACAAATTAAGCTCATAAAGAGAAAGTTTGCTTGTTGCCCATCCCCTTTCAAAGAAAGCAGGGGACTATTAAAATAGGTTCGTTCGTTTGTCTGTCCGTCCGTCCTCCTGTCTGTTTGTCATACTTTTTGGGACACAATAACTCTCTTTCTAATTGAACTAGAATGTTCAAACTTGGAGTAGGTGTTTTTTTTAGGTCGATTGGTGCTATTTATTTGTTTACTTGTTGCAGTATTATTTGGTGATGAAATTGACAGTTAATGATTATTGACAATGACAGAACCTGACTTGAACAGTTAAAATATCTTGAATGGTTAAACAATTGTGATACCTTTATTGTGATTTTGCATGACCTAGTCTTGAATTGTGCATAAAGTTATTGCTCCTTCCACCTAAACCTGTATTCACTGTACATCAGAGTTTTAAAGGTTTTTGAAAAATATTATGTGTCTTTTTAACTAGTCATAGGGATGAACATGATCGAAAGTCATAGTCTTGCCTCAATTATTTACAAATGTATTGTCGTTATCATTAAAACCTTGTAATATCTCTCTGGGTGTGAGTTTTCGATTGTAACCTTTTTGAAAATGTTTGATTGACTTAACAGTTATTGCATTTGTTATCAAACCTTGTGGATAAAATCACATTTTTTTACATTTTATTTTCAATCCTGCTGGGATGTCTTCTGTTGAAAATTATAAACAGCTTAAATGTACCTGCTAAAATCATGTCAACCTTTGTTTCTATGAATATGCCAATCATACACAGAACATGCAGCACTGAAGAAGCAATACAAATTAGCTTAATAAATTATATTTTAATTATAAATAATTTAAATTTGCACTATAACTATACCATTACAAATATTGCTTAGTAAATGTCGCACATTGAGAATCTGTTATCATCTGTTGAACTACACAGCAGGCAGACATTATTTTCATCATCTTTTATTTAATCACCTATCCAAAGTCTTTGGGAGGACCCTAGATCAAAGAGAAGGACTAGGTATGTATAAGGTATGAGGTATGGATCAGTTGTTCAACAAACTGAATCCAACTACCACTTCCAACAATGGAACTCAGGAGATATTTGATTGTACAATAAAAATAGACACACTCTGTCAAACCACCTACAGAAATAAGAAATAAATGGTCCGAAAGAGAAAATATTTGTGAAGAGAAATTATTGTCACTTAAACATTTTTGAAAAATACAAAGTGTGGACGTATATGGTAATGATGAAAAATGGAGTTGCATTAACATAATTCAATTGTTCTGTACTGGCAAACCTTTTGCAAAGATATGCCTTCAAATGGTATCCATAATTCACACGAATATAATATTGGATAATAAATTATTAATTTGATACTTACCATAACCCCCAATATCTGCATATTCGTACTGTCTTGACAACTAAATTGTTATAACAATATATATTTACATGTGTTTTTTATACACCTACATTGAAATGTAATATTCTATTGCTGTCCCTGCGATCCATCTATTGTCTCATGAGCACTATTCAATAAATGTGTTGTTTACATTAGTTAAGACGAAAAAGCACACTGAATTTCAGCTATTCCTGAAAATAATGTCAAAAGTTATTGCCCTTGGCCTCTTTGTAGAATTGTGTGAATATCATTTAGATAAGATTATGATCCAACGGAAGTCGATTATTTAATCACAGGTTTTCTCTTTCGATTTTCATATACCATTGGCAGGTTCAAGAATTGCCTCTTAACGCCAATAATCACCCATCTTCACAGCACATGGATGTTTTAGTTAATAAAATTAACAATGACCTACCTGCTGGCCGTGTCATGGGTCCTTTTCTTAGTCCCCCATTCCCAAATTTAACTTGCTCCCCTCTTGGGATTGTTCCTAAACATGAAAAAGACTCTTTCCGTCTGATCCATGACCTCTCCTTTCCTAGGCACCACTCCATAAATTCTGGTATTGACCCTATTTTTACTGCTGTTTCCTATGACTCTATTGACAATGTTGTTAGTTTGGTCAAACATTTTGGTACAGGGCCTCTCATGGCCAAAGCTGACATCGAAAGTGCTTTCCGGTTGATTCCCATCCATCCTACAGACTATGAGTTGCTAGGGTTTTCTGTTCGTCTGAGTGAGCAGCGCTATTATTTCACAGACATGTGTCTACTCTTTGGTTTCAGCACAAGCTGCAAAACATTTGAGCGTTTCAGTACAGCTCTTCATTGGATCTTAGAAAATAAGTGCCAATGCTCAGTTAGCCACATGATCGAGGACTTTTTCTTTATTGGTCCTGAAAATTCTATGAAGTGCCAACACTCACTCACGACCTTCCTGAACCTCGCCTTATTCCTTGGTATACCTATAAAAGATTCCAAAACAGTAACTCCCACAACAGTTATAACTATATATGGCATTGAGGTGGATTCTAATAACATGCTCTACCGCTTACCTGTGGGCAAGGTGTCCAAAATCCACTCCGCCCTTTCGTGGTCACTTTCCCAGAAGAAAGTATCTCTTCCTGAACTACAATCCCTCCTTGATTTGCTTAACTTTGCCACCTTAGTTGTCGTCCCTGGTCGTACATACCTTCGTCGTCTATATGACCTGACCTGCAATGTAACTAAATCTTTTCATAAAATTTGTTTAACGAATTCGACTAGAGCTGACCTTAAGATCTGGTCCATTTTCATGGAACCTTTCAATGGTCGCTGTATGTTCTTAAATGATGCTTGGTTTGCATCTGATCACCTTAGGCTTTTTTCCGATGCAGCTACTACTTTAGGCTATGCTGCGGTTTTCAGTTCACAGTGGTTTGTGGGTGCCTGGCCAGAACTTATGCAGTCCCTTAACATTAATGTTATGGAGCTCTTCCTAATCACTCTTGCGATTGAACATTGGGGCCATTTACTGTGCAACCGCAAAATCCTTCTCCTGACGGACAATGCATGTGTGGTCTATGTTCTCAACAAAATGACTTCTAAATGCCCTCATTTAATTACCTTAATATGCCGCATTGTCCTTGTTTAAATTTTAAATAATATCTTACTCCGTGCTAAACATATTGCTGGGAAATCAAACCTAGTTGCTGATCACTTATATCGCTTTCAATTTCAGCAAGCCAGAATAGCGGCTCTGTGGCTGGATCCAGCACCAAAGTCAATCCCTCCAGACTTGATCAAACTTTAAGTGACACTGCTGCCTACTTCATGGATGCTAGTTTATCAACAGCCGCCCATTCATTTTATCGCCGTGCCTGGACCAGACTTTTAGACTTTTGCACAGACCAACACTTGGCCCCATTCTTTCTCATTCCAACCATTGTAAGTACTAATTTCCGTGCCCACTTGTTTGATTTGGGTTACTCCCCATCAACTATAAGTTCCTGTGCCTCTGCTCTAGCATTTGTCCAGAAATCCTTGGGCTATACAGACACCATTAATTCCTTTACCAATTACACTACCATTATTAAAATGCCTCTTGCATGCCCTTCCACTGGTCATTCCACACCAGGTGCATCACATTCTTTTACGAGCCATTTTCTCACTCGCTTTTGCAGAGTTTTCGCCTCGGGGAATTAATGTTTAAATCATCTTTACACATGCAGAATATTCTTTGTGTTGAAAACATTTAGTTTACATTTCATGCTTCCTCAGTCTCCGCCATTGAGATAGCGATGCATCATTATAAACATAAAACCACATCTTCACCAACCCGATTATTTCTTAAT